TGAAAAAAAAGCCCAGTCTGAATAGGGTTAAATGCTGTGTAAAATACACATCAAAAGACGTTAAATTGACGCAAAACAATGGTTCGACTTGCTGGGTAAATATCTTTCACGGTTTTGAATTTATCTTTTTACAAAACTGTTTCTTTAAAAACACCGACACAGCTCACACTAGTTTACCGCTAGTTTTCGCCATTTTGCAGATACACGAGCCTTGTCATCAAAATTATATCCTAGTACAATACCTTTTATTCGCACTTTACTTACACAAAAACTCAAGAGGGTATTTATCATTCCAAGCTCAGGTCACTGTGTCACTTTGCTGGTTAGTTACCTTTCAAGATGGCTAACAGTTATATCAGTTGTATATTCAATACAACATATTTCTTCGAGAAAGTTTCAAAAAGACCAAAAACCACCAGCTCACCCTCCAGATAAAAAAAATAAATGGTCCCTTAGACGCAATTTCATGCACCTACCAGCCAAACAATAAAAGGGGCGCATATTGCACCAATTCTGCCAGAACCACTAGCTGTACCAAAACCAACACTTCTGAATAAAACAAGGATAATTAATGTTTAAGTCATGCCATGAATTTAAACATTGCTGATTTCTTGCAGGTTCGAGAAAAGCAGCCAGATTGCTTCGATTAGTCAAAATTTTAATTTCCATTCTAAAACTCATGAATTATTCATTAGACATTCTTCCAATGAGCATTCAACTATGGGTCACATGACAGGATCTATAACTCAAGTTATAAAACTAATTAATATTCATAAAGCAAAACACAATAGAAATCATAGCCCATGAAGAGAGTTGTATATTACATACAGATTTCTTGTTCATTTGCACAAACTTTTACTCTGATTCTCTCAGTCAGATTGAATTTTTTTTCAAAAGTTTCTTTAAAACCTGAGCTAATTTACCTTAACGTTTCATAAGTAATATACAATATTCGCGTGCGATCTGTATGAGGATTTAAAACAGCTCGCTTTCAGCTCGCTGTTTTAAATCCTCATACAGATCGCCCGCTCATATTGTATATATTACTTATAAACACTGATTAATTAAACATGAGTTTTATAACTAACCGGTTCAGTTAGTTAATAACACTCATGCATAAAACATCAGTGTTGTAACTGATTTACAGACACTCGGTGTATGCCCAACACTAGAAAAGTTCTCAGTTTTAGACTCTCATCATAGAACTTCACTAGRTCTCGAGTTAAAATTACTTATCTGCAGAGTCACAGTACACTAAAACATAGTGGCGCTTGGATGTGGGAAACCAAGTTGATTACTGCTCATGYTCAGATGGAGATATCTTCATCAATTATTCACTTTTGATATTTTTTTATTTATTTCATGTTTATTGTAGTTTCTTAGGTTTGGGTTTTAGAAGTCATTTAAAAAACTCGTAATTCGTGTTTTATCGTGGATATAAACACTCGGCCTTCGGCCTCGTGTTTATATCTCACGATAAAACACTCCTACTCGTTTTTTAAATATCACATAAACAACTCAAAGATACCGGAAAAATGTTTTAACTACACTATATTCATTTTAAGTGGATTGATATAGGAGGGAGAAAAAGACTTAAAAAAAGAGCTTTAATTTATAAGGCACTACGGCCTTCTTCAACAATTTACATCTTTTATAGATATACCAGTCTAAAAATATTGGAATACCTTACAACGGTCGGGAAGAGCTCAGTAGTATAGACGATAGCCACTTGAAATGCTAAGCAGATAAAATACTTGGATACCACAGTCATTACGATTTGACCAACGAAAAATGCTAGGAAACAAATATATTATGATTATAAATGATTATAAATTACATGTCATCAAGCCGTTAAAATAGCATAATACAATTTATCATATAATTTTATTTGTTAGTCTATTGTTGTTTTATTTCATTTGTTCGAATTCTCGCGTGGTGATTGCCTGATTAGAGTGTGTCATGAAGAATACATACTGTACACACTGTGTCTACAACACCACATCTCGTGCAGGTGCGCTTAGTTGAAAGAAAATGCTTATTTTTTTTACAAATTTGGACACGGTCTTTTTTAAGTACAGTCATTCATGCATCAACTTGAGTATAGAACATTTTATGACTTCAACGACCAACGAGGACAAACATCTCAACATCGAGCGAATTCAATTCAATTAGTCATCATTTTCTTAAACCATAGAACGGTTTTTTTCTTTCCTTTTTACTGCATACCTGAATTCGATTTGTTGTTTTGTAATAAAACAGCTCCAAGAGATGCAATCGCCGATATTATCAATCCCAGTGACATGACCTTCTTCCTGCCAGCTCTGAAACCAAAACACTAGATGTCACTTTTGAACATAAGACGTAATTGCCAACATCTGCCGAAGAAAGTTCTATTTTATAGATGTTATGATCAAGGATGCAGTGATTGCCTCGTTTTTCATCTGTTTCAAAAAATGCTGTCGTCGCCAGAACACAGTCCACGGTCTTGAGCCTGCAAAGAATCTCGGGATTGCCATAAAAAAATTATATATTCAATTTTTAGTCTATTTAAAATACTCCGATTTAGAATTCTGGTTGGTCCGTGTTAGCCTCAAAACCAAGCAACTTATTCTTTTGTTTCATGGACAGCCTGAGAAAACGCATGGGATTTAAAAAGAGAGACAATAGAATTGATTTGAGATCTCAGACTTTTATTCAGCACAATTAGGAATATTTTGCGCATAAATGAGGCTGACACAGCATTAGAGAATTCGAAACTGGATTATTCTCGATCTCGTATATGGCTTTGAAACTCATTGACGGTTTGAAAGTGTGGAATATTGGAGGAAGGAAAATGTCTCATGGCGAAACATGCCCGCCATAGTATATTAGTAGTGTTTGACGGCATTGAATTCGAACCACAATATATTTTGAATACATTCATTACGCATGGAAACCCCGAGATTCTTTGCAGGCTCAAGACTGCGGACTGTGTCATGGTGACGACAACGTTTTTTGAAATAGGTGTATATAACAGTCAAGCAATCGGGTTTACAGGGTTATGACAAAACTGATGACTCGCAAATCCTGGTACGTCGAAAAATACGCATTTCTTTGATAAAATCTTTCTTTGATAAAATTTTATTATTATTTTTTATTTGAATATATCCTTAGTTTACCTGTTCATTAAAAAAACCGATGATATACTTGCAGGTATCTCTACAGCAGCCATAAAGAAAAATACTAGATATCGATTCCCTCCAAATATACCAGCGCTAAAACTAGAGCCATAAAACACCATGGTGATAACAATCCTGTCAATAAACAGAAGAATCCAAAAAATAAATATAATAAAAAAAAGAAAAAATTGTAACATTGTAATCAATGTAACGTATGCATTTGTCTCACTGTGGGGAGCTAAATAACTCGACCAATGGAGCGTTTAATCTACTCGTAACAAGATTACTTTTAACTCTACCACATGAAGAAATTTCAACTCCACATAGAAAAAAAAGCAATTCCAGAGGAAAGTTATTGAGAAAATACGCCATTCTGTATCCTTTTACGATCCATTTTTGATCTTAAATTGCGTAGCCCCTCACGGTTTTGCAAGATCTTTTTCGATTGGTTTACTAGCTACATGTATTCGTTAAAAAAAACCCTGCCAAGTGGTGGTAAGTCTCTTGTTGATCGACATCAAAAATATGGAGTTCATTAGCTATGTGACAGAGTGTCGCAGATGTGATAGAAACTCAAAAGGTGTCGTGCAAAATAAAATAAAATAAATTACCACGCAAAAGAAATAGCAATAGTAATTTTAGCCATATGCAGTGATCGGAAAAGATCACGCAGGTCACCAACTCGTTGGCTTTCTTCGACGAATTCTATTTCGTTTTCAGGCATTTTTTTGCCGTTGAATTTTGCAATCTTCTGGAAACTTTCGAATGCTTTGGAGTTCTTGCCCTTCACAATGAACCACCGAAAAGACTCCGGTAGGAACCTATGGAAGTAAAAAATAAAAAAATAAATAAAAAATAAATWAAGATAAAATAAAATAAAATAAAAACAAATAAAGGAAGTTTTAGAGTGTTCGAGTTCGAGAAGGATTAATGACTCAGACTTGGTACTCACGAGTATATCAGGAATCCGTCACAAAATGTCGTAGATAATAAGTGCAATTGTACTTGACTCAAGTAAGCCGTGGATTTGCAAAAGTTTGCATCATGAAAGCTCTGACCGAAAGGCAGCATTGAAATGCAATCAAATATTGCTAGTAAAACTGTCCTTACGTGCCAAAAGATTGTCTCTACTGATTAAAATGACCAAATGATTGATGTAATTTGGTTGGGAAAATATCATTTGATTTTCTGAATATATAAATATCCCCTTCGATGTGGCATTGATGACATCACCTTTTTGAGAATCTACAACACGTTGATTTAATTAGGGGCATGGACACTTATATGTATTGTTGTTTTATAAATTAATATCTGATGGCATCTTTTTGATTCATTTTTAACAAATTTGCTCGTATTATGAATGGAATATTCGTCGTGAAGGGAATTCTGTTGGTAAGTCATCCTAAAGAGATAAAGTAAAAAAGTGCTCCTAACCACCAAAATAAGATGATGACAAATCCAGGAAGAGAAGCTGTAATGGACAGAATCCTCCAGTCTCGTATAAAGTACCCAAGAAGAGCAAGTATCATCATCCCAATGCTAAAAGCAAATGACGAACAGGCAGCTGCTCCTGCGCGCTGTTTTACATTGATATTCTCCATCATTAGAACAAATGTGGACACAGATGAGGTGCCTGGAAAAGTATGATACAATGCTATAGGAATTATGGACTACAAAAACTGAATAGCACGTAAAGCACCCTTTGTCCTTTCATCAAATTGAATGTTGGTTCTTTTGGATGGTTGTGTACTAAGGGAGTAACATGCTCAAAGACAACATTGCATTTAGGGGTTAGGGGGATAAAATTGTTTGCGGGTGATGCTTAAAATGAAAAATGGTCAAAGGATTTTGTCAATGATTGTACATTACTTAACTTACCTGTAAAAATGCCAACAGCACCTCTCAACAATGCATATAACCAAAACACATTCACAAACGAAGCGAGTAACGCAAGTGTACTGCACAATAACGCTGGAAAATATGAAATTGGTTTACGACCGCATTTATCAGCCAACATTCCCCCAAGGATCATCCCAAGCATGTATCCTGCGAAGACTACGCTCTTCGTGATGCTAGACAATGTGGAACGGTCGCAAACTAGCTCCCACTGAAAGCAAAGAGGATAGTACTGTTATGTTGTTATTGCCATCATCAGCACTTACACTGACTGTTGCAGTTTGAACTTTTACTGAATGTTGAGTTTTGAAGGCTGTATGCTGGTTTTACGTACAGGTAGAACTCAGCAGGGTGAATCAATCGCGGCTTTTGGACGGTCTTGGTAATGCTATACGGTTTGTGGTGCCCCTTCAAGTATCGAAAATAATGAGAAACGTGTTGTTGGATGTCTCTCGCCCTTCAGCCCCCTCTGACCGAAGAGCTTTGGATTTCAGACAGAGTGTGATGAATTTCGAGATGGTATCATATTGTATTTTTCTTCCACCTGGCAGTTTACGGCGCGGGGCTGTAGCTCGTAGTGCGGCTAATGGCAACACCCTTAATGGTTGAGAATTTCCGTGGCTGTCTACACATGAATGACACCTGTCTGTTTAAATGTACGTATGCAGAGAAGAATGACTTTCCACGGCCGGTGTTTTTGTGTATTGATAGTTTCACACTCAAGCATTCCTCTTACTTTTCTAACTCAGAGATTGCATTAGCAATCGAAGAGTTATTCTGCATTGTCTTTTCCCACAACTGCATACGACGAGAGTGATAGTGATTCGAGTGTTAAAATGTATGTCGGTAAGTCCAATATCCTGTTTCCATGCATCACATTTATAGTCAAAACAGTCTAGAAATATAATACTAACATACTGCAAAGTACCATGCCATAAAAAATGTAATATGAAATTCACGATAAGAACTCGTTCAAATTCTGTTATCTAACAGCTTTTAGAACTCGTTTCAGYGCAATATTGGTACTTATCATAGCCATGGAATGGGATGTAAGAAAATCTTTATAATTATTCGCGAGCTTTTGTTTGGAATTTCAGTTTGCTGTTGCGAGCAGTGCACTGGGTGTGACCGTATTCAACTTCAAAAATCTCGATAGAAAAGCATGCATTATAACCATCTTGAAACTTACTATGAAGTTCTGTCGGTTTGCTTAGCATGCTTTAGGAGAAGCTGACGGGTTCCTGGGAGAAATATATCTGTTCTTATGTCCCAGCCAGCTTTAAGTCACAATAGGTTGCCAGCGAAAAGTTTAGGAAAAAAGAACTCTCCAGGCAAGAAATAGTTTCTAATAATTTTTCCAGAAAAGAAAATTCCCTAACTAAAAAATGCAGGATATTTTTGAACTTAAAAACGTTATATAAGTCCTTCTTGACCTTAAAATCGTTTGCTACATTTGCTTGTGAGATTGTCAATAATTAGCTCAAAATCCTGTCACAGAAAAACAGTTCTTTAAGAGGAACAGACGCCGTTGGCTCCTCCTGAAACTTGAACCATTGAAATATTTGAATGATTAATATTTGGCTTTAAAAGAGCGATGACACTATGGAAAAACGATAAGAATTAAAGTTGGTATGTATGCATGAACCAATGAATAAAGTTATATCTCTGTTAYTGAACAAAATTGAGGAGAGAAAACTACCGTCGAATTTACTATTTTCTTAAGACACCTTTCAATTCTAGACTTTTAAACCTATTGTCACCAATGGCTATTCCCTTCTTCCATCACGAGTAAACGTTTGTTGTATGATTAAAATCAYCATACGATTCTGTTCACGTCATATATTTGCCGAGATAATATAACTAGACCCTGACGGCATGGTGWACTCGTRCCCTGAAGGTTTTGAAAAGTGCTGGCTCATTCAGTACTTTTTTTMAAATGGAGCTCACTTAAAACCTTTCACTCGTTCGCTTATAAGTCCAACCATTTTTTAAAATATTAAAATATCCTGTTTGTCTCAATAATCAAAAATAGCTAGCCCGAGTTAACGCTCTAATARTCAACTGTATTAGATTATTAAAAGCGTAGACACAGTGAATACCACGCACGGCAATATGCAAACGRGTGACTCAAATCGGCTTGCGGTAAAAGCTATAAAAAAACCTCATCGTTCACTCTGATATCCTTTCGTGTGAGACAAAGTAAAAAAGTAATATRYTCAAATCCAACTCTTCAAAGGCGAAAATACATACTTGGATGTTCAAATTTTCTCAYRAAGAAAAAAACAGAAAGGTCACATATATTTTTTATTTCTTAAATTCGATGGTAGTTTTTTAGGATTGTCTTTAATATCATTGCATTTCTTCAAAAAGTCTTGAAATCAGGACTCTTTTCGTCGAAATTGACACTTCATACGGACTGTCAAGTTACGCTTGAATGATCAAGGACTTTTTGGGTGATTCAACAAGAAAATATAAATGATCATAAATAATTACAAATAATAAATAATAATAATAACAAGAAAGTATATTAAACAATGAATAAAAATATTTGTCACTAGCATAAGATTTTAATGAAAAACGCAGACGTTTCGTTTCCTCAGTGCGTTGTAATAAAAGAGCTACAAAAAACGCACTGAGGAAGGTCAGGGTTCTGACCGAAACGTCTGCGTTTTGAATTTAAATATTAGGCTAGTGACAAATATTGTTATTCAGTTTTTAATATAACTCTTCTTAGCTGCAATTTTAAAATACAAGAAAGTATAGATAACTTCCTTATAGATATTGTACCAACAGGCCTCGTTTTTCAGTTAATTTCCGTGGGTTTCCTATATTCAGCAGTTCTGAAGAAGTTCGACCGCCATTCTTTTAGCGAGCACATCAAAACAAAGCACATTAATTTTTTTTGTTCATGAATATCTTCAACTAAGTCCTCAGCAATTTAAATTTATATACAGATTTTATAACAGTCATGTATTTGTTGAAGAAATCATGCCCTTTGTCACTCAGATAATTCTTGAATTGAAAGTATACAACGAAAGAAAAAAAAAAAAACGGACAGCTTCAGTGGTCAAAGACTGGCTGCAGCAAACGAGCAGAAACCAATCTGTTAAGTCTAAACAAATTTCATGAAAATTTCTTCAATAGATTGCATATTGTTAATTTTAAAAGTGTACTATCTACTTTTTGTGAAGGGTTTCTTGCATATTAAAGTTTTGAGAGGTTCACCGATCATTATTCAGTTAAATCGTTTTATCGACAATAGAAGGGAATTAAGATGACCACAACAAAATACACTGACATCATATTCACCTCTGTCACAATGGTCGACATCTCACTCGTGTCGAACTCCCATTGATCTCGATGAAGGCTACATCTTAGCTTATATCCATTTTGTCCGGGTAAAATACTACCAGTGATATTACAAGACGAGCTGTTGCTCACACAACGCCAAGGAGGCTCAGCAGCGAGAAAGGTTTCTAGTAGAAGTTGGATACTATGTAGGGCCATTTTGATATAGCTAATAATAAGAATTAAGCGTATTTGAAAGCGTCCCATTTGCCCAATTCTAACCAATACTTCATCGGGATTTAAAGGCTTGCTCGTCAAATCATTAGCCATTCGATTGTCTTGCAATTCCATACTGCTTTAAACAAGCCAACGTTTAGYTTGCATATGTAATAAGGTCAGATGTAAAGAACGTGTCATCACTGAAACGCTATGCGCAGGTAGTCACGACAGCAACGAAAAATATAAATTAAGACAGCAAGCGCAAAGCAATCAGTGAAGCTCTGCACTGTTTTTCAGTTTGTGAAACACGGAAAGAAATTCAGTATTTGGTTTATTCAAAGACAATCTCATTTTGAATACTCAGTTTTGTTCCTTSTACGTGTGTTTTAATATTCCGAGCTTTCGGACAACTTGTCCATCATCAGGGCAAAATGAAATTACAATGCGTGCGCGAGGATACAAATGTAAACAAAACACTATGGTAACATAACTGCTTAAGAGCGCGCAATAGTTCAAATCAATTAACATACTGCGCGTGCATAGAATTACACGAMAAATCATTGGATTACAATAAAAGGATAGAATGTTAAGACTAGTTAATRTGTCRAGAGTTMTTTATAAGAATCAGGCAGAGTTCGTCCACTATTTTTGTTAAAAAGGCAGTTTTTGTTCTTTTTTCCTTTTATAGTAATCCAGAGTTCCTCTGATTGTAATCCAATGATTTTTCGTGTAATTCTTGATTTGAACTATTGCGCGCTCTTAAGCAGTTATGTTACCATAGTGTTTTGTTTACATTTGTATCCTCGCGCACGCATTGTAATTTCATTTTGCCCTGATGATGGACAAGTTGTCCGAAAGCTCGGAATATTAAAACACACGTAGAAGGAACTAAAACTGAGTATTTATTGTTAGCGCCATAGCGCCAACAGTGGTTTTTTGTTTGTTTTTCGCTTTGTTTCGTTAAGTAGTGTTCGCCATTGTATTTGTCAGCTTAAGTCAACGTTCGTTTATTTCCTTTGTTCCTTATATGTTCCATGCAAATTTTGTTCAGTTTAAGCGCTCGTTTTGAATATTTTAATCAGTGTCGTCATATCGTAGTATCGAGTACATCGCACAGTTTGTTTGTAAGTATTTTCATCTTTTCCTTGTCTTTAATATCGTTTTTCATGTTATATAGTATAGTTAATTGYATTTGTAAATTTATTACTTAGGAACCTTGCTTGCTTGTTTGTAAGCGTTTCGACAATGTGCTTGTAAATAAATACTTGATCCGTAAAGTTATCGTTATGGCGTCCTCATTTATAATGAGTCCTACGTACGAAAACATTTTAAAATCTCATTTAAGCTTTTATTTTTATTTTTCAAAATTATATCTTGCTAGGGCTATTTCTGTCCTTCAATACATTCCTTTGTTATTTAAGTAATAGATAACTTTTTCCGTGTTTACATAGCCTGATGCAGACACGAGGGTAGGTTGGGAGAATTCGAGACGGTTATGCAAACCCGAGACCGCTATTGCTTTTATAAAATAACTATTTTTCTAAAATATGGCTTTAAAAACTTTAGAATTCGAGTATAATTTTTATGATCAAAACTAGGTTTCTCCTTACCTCAAACATTTCAATGGCTTTTTCAACCAGCCAATTACAGTTCACGTTTTAACGAAAGGCGAAGTTGGCAGTTTTGACAAAATGTGAAAAAAATGGCGGACGACGGCGGGCGACTTTCTTTCTTTCTTTTTGCATCAAAATTGCCTTTTTAGTGACCTTAGATGAATCATAAACTATGTGTTCTTTGAGGAGAAAGGGTGCATGTCTGTCAAAAGGTCAACTGGACGCAAAAAAATTAGAAAAAGGTAGGTAAAACCAGTGTTACAAGACTTTTCTTGTACACTGTGGGATTTACTCAGTAAAGCAGGTACTTGGATCAAAAGGTTTTATTGAGACACCAACACAGATTTCTTACAACTTTGCTTGTAGCTTCAACTCTGAGCTATACAAAAATGTGAATCTGCCTATATAGTAAATATCTTACAAGGTAGAATGACAGCGAATTGGCAGGCTAGGTTGTAATATGATTGGATAAGATATACGTTTGACATACTTAAGATTGAATTACTAATGAGGTGTCCAGCCGAGAATGGGACGAAAATGCTATGCCCCAAGATACTTTTATGTGCAATTAAGAGATGAAATCAAGACAGAAGATAGCTCTAATAGAGAACTAACTTTCTATCAAGTTAAA